ATATAAAGGGTAATCAGAGAAATGAAGTTCATGCCTTGTGATAGGATTCACAAGCCATAAGTCACACGTTTCCCTATTGAACAAGATCAGGTAACCATTAGTTAATCCAAAAGAGATCCTGCTGCCAGAAGAATGGGGAAGGATGGTTTTGAACCTTGGCCCTTCAAAGTCCTCCTTCAAGTAGATGTAACAGTCTTGATTATTAACACAGGGCTCGATACATATCTTCACTGGGCTCGATACAAAATGATCAAATTTGTAGGCTGAAACTCATAACAACTTAAATTAGATTTGCACACGATTTCTTTTAAAATAATTACGGCAAAACGCTTTAATTAAGATTTTGGTCAATACAAAATTCAAATATCCAAATATCCAAATTATATCATATAATCCAAAAGGGTGTGGTTTTTGGCATTGTATCCCACACCGTGCAATCATCTATGTTTTAACATCTTTATAAACCAAAGCTTGTATCCATTAGTTATAGTTTAATTAACTTAATGCAACCTTTAGAGTCGGGACTTGTATAACTCTCCATAATGGCTTTCATTTTGTACCAGTTAATGTGAGGAACACGCACGTTGTACTCTACACCTACTTCAACCTTATGTGAGGAACATGCACCTTGTACTCTACACCTTCTTCAACCTTATTTTTATCCTCAGTGTGTTGTTGCTCTTCCTCATGAACATCATTATCAATATCTTCATCCTACACTTTATAGTATGTTTCCTTAACATATTCTTATCCACATAAGATGTTAATGAATGGTTGTTACATATGGTAGATGGCTTAAAGGTCTACGGTTCAAATTTCCACGGACATGTCAATAAGATTATCAAACTCTTCATCATGCATGTAAGTTTTCTTTAGGCTTTTTGTATGTGTGTGTGATATCTCTCATTTCAAACACCGAGAATTGATTTTCTTTGTCAATAATCACACTAACACTAAATTCGATTATGGGATTGATCAATATATATCCACACATATTTTACTATTTTAGTAGATTTGAACTTCAAAAACTCCAAGTGTAAACTTCGTGCATACAACAATGGTGTTAGAACTAAAACATATGAAAACTCTCTTTCCCCGCTCAAAATCACTATCAAATCCAAAAAATACTATTGATGTTTTCATTAAAAGGTGATGCTTGTGTAAGTATAATGTGTGCTCCCAACATCAATTTTTTTAAACTTTTGTAGCTGGAAATTGAATGTATAAAATTAGATATTACAAAATATCATCTAATAATAAAATACTGAAATAGATCTCCAAAAGTTAGATTGTTTTTAAATTTTTTTTAGGGTTGATAGATAGCATAAGGAAAAGAAAGTTGAGCCCTTCCGAGTTCTTGATGCAATTACCAAATTTCTTTGGGTTTCACTATTTATGAGTCAATAAGATTTTACTATGCTTATCTTCCGCTACAAGAAATGTTGGCAATAGCGGCGACGCCAAGCAATAGCGGCGACATGTAATTGACGCGTTACATGTCACCGCTATTACTTGGCGTCGCCGCTATTGCTAACACAATGGCGATCCGCATGAAATAATCCCCGTCCGTTCGATCTGTATTCAATCCTACGGTCGTAAATTCCTAAAAAACGGGCTGACTTTTCCCTCCAGTGGTTTCTCCGCTAATGCCCCTTTGTCGCCGCTAAAGAGCGATCGTCGCCGCTATTGCCCGTCGCCGTTATTGAGTTGCGTCAGATAACCCCACAGTCGTCGTTCTTTCCTCTATTGTTGCTTTCTTTCTCTCAAAAAATTTCGTCTCCCTTCACCCTCTGCACCCGATTTCAATTCTGACAACCGAGAGACACTTTACCGGCGGCCATCGACTTAATTGAGGGCAACACAGCTACATTTCAGTGAAATTGAGCAATCTAAGGTCGAATTCTTTCCCTAATTTCTATTCTTTTGTGTTTTGATGTTAGTTTTATTATTAAAACCTGATTATATCATTGACTTATATGTTGTCTAAGATTTGTTTGGTTAGTGATTTTGAGGGTCGACCAAGCCCTCTTGTTTGGCTGTTAGTTTATGATTTTTGAGTGATTACGTATGTATTCTCATATTTTATGCAACCTATTGTATAATTGATTTGTGTCTATGCTCATTGTGGTGTATTGGCATGGTTTGTGTGATTTTGTATTTAGGTGTATACTTTTCTATGAAATTGAAATTGGATGTCTAAAATGGTAGGGTTGTATGAAATTGGATGTGTTGCTTAATTGTTTGAAATTGGAATTTGAATTGGATGTATTGTATGTTTAATTGTATGAAATTGGAATATGAAAGTTGTATTGTATGTCTAAAATGAAATGAAAATTGGAATTGAATGTATTGTATATATGTATGATTATGTGATATTTAGGTTTAATAGTTTGGTGTATATAAGATGAAGTGATAAAGTTCTTAATTGACACAAGAACCACCACAATCACAGGTAATTGTTTGTTTAAGTTGAAAAGTATAATGTTATAATGGAAAAGGAAAAAAAGTAGAATGCTATAATGATATGTTGGTAATTGTTTGTTTAGTAGATAGCACAATGCTATAATGGAAAGTAGAATGCTATAATGATATGTTGGTTATGGTTTGATATGTTGATATTTTGTAGTTTGATAATTTTTGGAAAGTAGAATGATATAATGATATGTTGGTTATAGTTTGATATGTTGATATTTTGTAGTTTGGTATTTTTTGGAAAGTAGAATGCTATAAGGATATGTTGGTTATGGTTTGATATGTTTATATTTTGTAGTTTGGTAATTTTTGGAAAGTAGAATGCTATAATGATATGTTGGTTATAGTTTGATATGTTGATATTTTGTAGTTTGGTAAATTTTGGAAAGTAGAATGTTATAATGTTATGCTGGTTATAGATATGTTGGTAATATATTTTGTTTTCTTTGTAGTTGGAAATGCTGCAAACGATACTGAAGGACCCGACATGTTCTGCAGCATTGGAAGAGTGGTTTCGTTCATTGCCACCACCAAATAATGAAGGAAATGATGAGAGTGATGACGACGAGTAGGAATTTTAGAATTTTATGAAATTTTTGTTTAGAAGAATACTTTAGGTTGTATGGACTAATATTTTGGATTGTGGATCAATATTTTATAAAAGTTATATTGTTTTTGGTTTTCTATGGGTTAAATGTAACATATTTTATAAATGTGTAATAGATTTTATAAAATTGTGGATTAATATTTTATAAAATTGTAACAGATTTTATAAATGTTATATTGTTTTTTATAACTTTAATATTAAATAAACAAAAAATAAAAAATAATAACAGTTTTTGCGGCGACAGACAAGTATTAGCGGCGATGAATTTTTAGCAGCGACAATGTAGTATTAGCGGCGACAAGCCAATAGCGGCGACAGGGTTGTATTAGCGGCGACTAATGGGGCATTAGCGACGAAGCATTAGTGGCGATGTATTTGCAGCAACATGTCGCCGCTAATACCTTTGGCGGCGACACCCCCTGTCTTTTGCGACGACAGGCGTCGCCGCTAATGCCCGCATTTCTTGTAGTGTTTCCCACTATGTAACCAAGATGAACTTGCCTTAATTTTCAAAAGTAATCTCTATAGAATACTCTTTAGGGATAAACGAAACAAACAACAACAAACTTTCATTTTTTTCTATTAGAGCATTGTGCTATGAGGAATCAATCCAAAGTATATAATAGCGTTGCCTATAATTTTATTTTATTTCTTATTAGAACGATATACTTTTAAAATCTACCAAGTAAAAGTAAAAGTGATTGACATTGTTGTAGTCAGGTACATGTTTTCAAAGTACAAGATTGTAATAGGAAGAAATGAAAGTAAGATTTTATCATAAACGAATTCAATGTAAGTACATTATTGTTTCTTGCATTTAACCCCAATCATCACCCCCATTAAATTCTCCTTGTGATTGGTCATTACATCCTTCATTACTTATTGGTTTCTCATTGTGTTGGAACTTGCGTTTCTCAGAAAATGTTAAAATTCATACGGAAAGCATTATGTGCTCCCACTTATTCTAAATAAAGCTCTCAACTGTTTCAAGGAGACATGTAGCAAGGTTAGTTGGGTCGTAAGGTTATTTATGGAAATTGACATCCGGTTTTGATTGACGGAATGACACCAACCAGGATTCCTTGGTTGTGTGGTCACTTTCTTCTATGCAAGGTATGTCGATCAAATGCTAAAAACATAAACAAGTTCTCAATCACGAAAAAGTCATAGGCCTTATTGCATCATATATCTAATTATGAACCCAAAAAGACAAAATAATGATCAAAGTATTCTTATAATGATTGCTTGTTAGAACAAAAGATGATTTATGCACACCAAACATGGCAAAACAGCCGGAACAATGTCTACCCGGTTTTAGTACAGAAAAGAGTAACATCCTTACACCATTATATCGATTTTAGCCACCGGATATTAATATTATACAGGAAAACTTTTGTGCCATCGAGATTATGTTGTTGTCTTTGGTTTTTTTTTAAACCTTGTTTGAACTTTGAACCCGGAAAAATGGTTTCTTTTAAATGGGAAAGTAAACCATAATGATTTAATAATTATATAAAATAGTCTAGTGACAATCTGATAATGTGGTGAGACCATGTTTAGCTAAGCTTGAATCTGGAACCATGCTTATGTTAAAGCAAGCATAAAAGGGTACTATCGATTCAAATGTCTTGAGGACTGAAGCATGTAATGTTCACAGGTAGCAGATTAATGTCACAATGCTCCTTGTTGATAAAGCACCACTATGTTGATAACGCAAGAGAAGGAACATCTCATTAAAAATTTAAAAGTAACAAAAGACTGCCCTCTTAAGTAAAAGGGTGAGTGACAACGAAACTATTTAAATAATAAGTTGTAAGATGTTAAAGACACTGATGGTGTTTCTTACCGTCTTAAAATTCATCTATATGGAAACTTCTGAGTTCAAAAATTAAAAATAAAAGATAAGAGTGCTAAGAAGTCATTACTCATCTAAGAAATTAACATTCAAACAATCATGAGGGAAGTACCACATCCAATCAAAATAGACCATGCATTTTCGACTTTTATCATCGTCAAGGAAGTATTCATGATAGCCCGTCTGTTGTGTCTGAGAGTCAGCCCATAACTCTAGTATAAATGCAGCAGAATAATTAAAGTAGCTATAAAAGATTGCATATTCTTGTATTGTCTTTTCCGCTGACACCCATTTCATTTCCCCAAAATCTAGTTCCATGAACATTTTTTGTTTTGAAACCCAACCTATCACAAAAAGCTTTTCATTTGAACTCGCAAGTCGCAGAAAGTACAAGTCTGGCTTCGGAAAACTCTTTGTTTCAAGTAACGTCCATTTTCCCTTCCACTCTGACTTCAGATCGAGTATGAGTTCACCCAAAGAACAATGGGCGTGTAGAGTGTATATCTTTCCCTTGAAAACATGTAAATCAGCAATGGGGAGAGTCGAGGAGACATGATTCCATCCTTTTTTACCAGCTATACAAAATGATATTGTTCCATGTAACACAAGAAACACCCACCCAGTTATTGCTTGTGAAAAGACAAGGATACCCCTGATAGCCCACATTTCTTCTTCACGAGCACCTACACTTAAGGGATAATCGGGGAAATGAAGTTCATCCCTTGTGATAGGATTCACAAGCCAGAAGTCGTGGGTTTCCCATCCGAATAAGATAAGGTAACCACAAGTTAATCCGCAATAGGCCCTGCATGAAGAATGGGGAATAATGGTTTTAAATCTTCTTTCTTTCAAGTCCTCAAGGAGATAATAGGAGTCTTCCTTATTAACGTGGGGCCCGATGCTTATCTTCATAGGTGGTTTGGACGCCATAAACGTGTTTTTGTTAGAGACTGCAAATGACCTCCATGACTTGCAAACTCCACTGAATGCAACAAAATCAACAACTCCCAGTTTCATCATAATTAAAAAAAGCACATCATGGTTGACATCCGACCAAGATGCCACACCATTATGGTTAAAATTCTTGAACCTCTTCCTGCTAGATGATGATGATGCATTATCATCATCATGATTCTGGTTTCTGGTCATACTCAAAGAAAATAAATAGCAGACAAACAGATGCTTCCCTTTTCAAAGTGTTGTAAGAAGAAGTGAAAACACACACTCACATACGTTTAGATTACAGACAGTCAGACAATACATACGCTCATATTTAAGGAGCAATACAGATGCATGATGCACTAAAACGGTGAAACATTGATAGGGACAAAGTGTAACACATAGCACTTTTAAATGAGTAATAACTTCTAAATACCTATAAAAGTTAAGAATGGCAGATAATTAATACACCGATTTCAATGGTTGTTAACAGAAAGTTATTCTGAAAATTAACAATAACTCACAAAACAGATCACAACAGCTTATTCTGCAAACTAAATTGCAACTTTACTAACTTTAAAGTGAAAATACATGTTTGATTAACCAAAATAAAGTGATTAGAACACCTTCTTGAATGAGTTAAGTGCAAAAACTGATATCTTGTCTGATTAGGTCAGACCAAATTAGGGCAAAATCGTCTAGGACAGATAGATCAAATCTGTAGAGTGAACATAAATCATATTTTGCATTAGATTTGATAGCATGGACTTCAAAGCAAATTAAGGTAAAAGGGTTTAATTAAGATAGCCAAGGAAGAGTTTACAGAATAAAAAAGGTGGAATCAAATGGGGAAGATAACTCAACAAGCCGAGAAGAACCATTATTTTAAGAAGCGTGGGGGAAATTATACCTGCAAAGATAAAGATACAGATTTGAGCGTAGAATTGTAGGGCGCAGTAGAAACAGAGTGTGGTGAAACGAGAGATTGGGTCAAATATATTTGATTTAGAAATTACAATGACAGCCCGTATTTGGTCAAATAAGTTAATAAAAAACTATTATGAAAGCTTATTCAAATCTTAAGTTTTTTTTTTTCAACCAACCATAAATGACAACTTATTTAAAAAACAATAATGTAATATAAATAAATTGATGAAAAAGTTTTGCATATTTTAGAGTTGTGTTGATTTTTTTAAACTAATGAGCTGGTGCTTATGTACAGTAAGAAAGCTCAATTAATAAGCACAACAAATCAAACTTTAATAATATTAATACGACAACCCCAAACAATCCGATCCGACTCAAACTCATTTTGACATGTAATTCGACCCATACAACTTATCTTTTTGGGTTCTTTGTTAAAATATGAAACATGGTAGAAGAAGGCCGATGCATAATTCTTGATAGAGAATTTGTTCATGTTTTGGTGCATCTTATACGAGAGAAAGCAAGCAAGCATAACATTTTATAATTAACAACCCTAAACAGAGCATTAAAGGATACCTTGATTCCAGTTCCTTGAGGAATGAAAGAAGATTATGTTTGCGAGATGGCACAAATGAAAAACGTAACCACCACTAACAGATTGTTAACTTGACCTTTGACATCATACATTCGTTTTTGGTTTAATGTATCCTTGTTAACAGACCACCACTAGTTGATATCATGGAACAAACCAGAGCTCGAGCATTAAATCATATTAGAATTTGAAAGTAACGATATAGAAATTGAGAACATAATATCTTTACCCCAAGTAACTATAGTCCATAATAAAAACAAAGATAATAGTGCCCACCCTAAGCAAAAGGGTGAACGACAACCAAACTGTTTACATGATAAATTGCAAGATGTAAATACATTGATGATGGTCTTTAAATGTCTTAAAAGTTTTTTGCTTATCAGAATTCTAAAAGTCCACAATCAAAATAAAAGATAAGATTGCTAACAAGCCATCACCCATCTAAGTGATTAACCTTTAAACAATCATGAGGGAAGTATCACATCCATCTATAATGGACAATACGGTCCAGTTTTATTAGTGTCAAGAAAGTGACCATAGCTCTTGTATTGTGTTGGATGGCCAGCCTGAAACATCCCAAAATCATGACAAAAAATTTCATTTTAATAAATATTTTATAAAAACCATAAGATAATCAATCCTTGTTTTCAATCAAATCCATAGAAAAATCAGAGTATCAAACAATCTCTCGAAACATCGAATAATAGGAGGTTGTGTGAAATCACGCCTTTGCCTTGTCCTGGTTATCAAAAGTATTGGAAAACATTGAAATCAACAACTGTAAGCCAAAATTTAGCGAGTTCCTCAAAAATACCCTACACAACAATACATATACAATGCATGCACACTAGGCCTACAACACAAGACTGGACCGCCCCCGAGCTTACAACATAAAGTTGGGCCACTCCCGAGCCTACAACATAAAGTTGGACCGCTCCCGGGTTTGTTGGCCTAGAGCACAAAGCAGTATCGCCTCAACCCAACCATACCATGTCGACATATGCAAATAATAATCCATAACCAGCAAGTACAGGTAATCATACATGTAACACCCAAAATCAGAAAGGCCAAGAAAGGAAAGAAAACCCTAAGCCAAAGGGTCAACTCGTCGAGTCCAGGGAGAAACTCGACGAGTCGGAGCGGGATCCGGGGGATCGATTAAGTAACCGACTCGGCGAGTCGGCAAAGAGGACTCGGCGAGTCCGGTCTGAAGAGGGAAACCCTAAATCCGGGACTTTGTGCACTATTTAAGCATCTCATTCTCTCCCTTAGGGTTCCTTATAACCTCTCTTATCCAGAATACGAAACCCTAAGCCTCCATTGTTGCACATTCAAGCTTTCTTGCCATTTTGGGTGATTTGAAGGAAGAAGGAAGAAGGGAACCATTGGGGATTCAAGGATTGGCAGTAGATCCAGAGTTTGTGGGATTTTCAAGAGCATTTGAAGGTAATGAGTCGCTACCTTCACTCTTTTGCATATAGATCAACCTTTAACATGAGATTTGGGGCTTTTAGGGCAAGTTTAAGAACCATTTCGAGTTAAAAGCCCAGATCTGAAGTTGCTACTTCAGATCTAAGTGTATCTTGGCCTAGAGAATCATAAAGCATCAGTCTATGGGTTGATTGTTAAGCCTCTTTGTCTTAAACCCTAGTTTATAGTGTTTTGAGCCTAGATCTCCTTAGCTACACGTAAAGTTTGCCACTTTACGTGAGGAATAGGCTTTAGAAGAGTGGATCTACAGTTTGGAGTCCAGGCATGACTCAAAAGCCTCTGAATATATGAAGGACTGAATAGATTTGGCGAGTCCCTCGAGTGGACTCGGCGAGTAGTATGAAGATGGAGATGAACTCGACGAGTTGGATGAACAACTCGGCGAGTCTGTTGAAGATTGCCTTGGACTCGGCGAGTCTGTTCTTGGACTCGGCGAGTCAAGTCGCGAAACCCCAAACCCTTCGAGTTAAGACTCGGATCAGTGAGTCGAGTGGGGACTCAGTGAGTTGGACAGGTCAGGACTCGGAAATCGGTAGACTCGGCGAGTCAGGGGCTGACTCGGTAAGTCGAGTCGCGAACGAAAGGATTCTGAGCGTATGAACTCGGCGAGTCAGTAGGCAGACTCGGCGAGTAGGGTTGACCTGGAAGGTCGACTTTGACCAGGACTTTGACTTTGACCAGAGTTGACTTAGTTTGACTTCTAGAGTTCAATTTGAAACTAAGTGTTATATTGATATTAGTAGCTTGAGGAACTAGTGGGGCAGCGGTTCAGAGAGTTGTCGGACAGCAGCCAGAGGTTTATCAGCAAAGTTCAGCAGTGCGAGGTGAGTCTCCTCACTGTTTGTATGGGTCTAAGGCACCAATGTCGGCCCATTTAGTTTATGTATGATAAGAAGACCCGGGGGTTAGCCCTAGGCATTATGCATGAAAGACCAGGAGGCGGCTCCTGGCACACGGTATGTTATTATGTGTGGTAGGAAGACCCGGGGGTTAGCCCTAGGCAATATGTATGAAAGACCAGGAGGTGGCTCCTGGCGCACTGTATGCTATTATACATGAAAGACCAGGAGGTGGCTCCTGGCGCACTATATGTTGATTAGCCTATTAGAGTAGTATGTATAGTTGTCTTCGTGATACTTGCATGAAAGACCGGGGGGTGGCCCTTGGCACTTGTCTGTAAGACCCAGGGAGTGGCCCCAGGCTTGACCGGGAAGACCACGTGCGGCCCGTGGCATAACCACAAGACTATGTTTGGCACATAGAACCTTGGCAAGACTATGTTTGGCACATAGCACCTTGGCAAGACTATGTTTGGCACATAGCACCTTACCTGATTATGGATATGTTGGTTATGTATGGCTCTTGGCTATGTATGGCATGTATGGATGAGTTGGTTTGTATGGTATGTGGTATTTGGGGAACTCACTAAGCTTCGTGCTTACGGTTTTCAGTTTTGGTTTCAGGTATTTTGTTTTTAAGGAAAGGAGTCGGCTCGATCGCAGCGCATCACACTATGTTTTCCGCACATGAGATCTTTGGGATTACACTCTGATATGGTTTTACGATAATATGTTTGATTACCGACACTTTGGTTTGTCACGAGATATTATAATGAATGTTTTTATACTGATGGTTTTATGTAATAACTTATTTAAAAATGAAATTTTTGGCCTCGAATTTTGGGATGTTACAAGTTGGTATCATAGCCTTGGTTTGAGGGATTCGGACATACCCTTAGGTGTATCTGAACTCAAACTAAGGGCGTGGTATGAATGTTTTCAAGAGGAAAACCATTTTATAAATTAGTTTGAAAAGAATCTGAAAAGAGAAAAGGACTTTGAGAAGAACAAAGTGTGTGATGCGTGCAATCAGCCTATCTCGAGTAAGTTTACCCCAGGATATCCATACAAGTTATTATTATTTTATCAGTTTCAGTAGAACAGCATGCTAGGATAGGACTAAGGATCTAGGAATGATGCCTTATGTGCCTGCTTTATGTGCTTCAGCTTATGAGGATTGCATGCTAGTATTGAGTAGACAGTAATAGGATAGCCTGTTTAGGTTATGCCTGATTATATGAGCTTAGCATCGCATGCTAGTAGAGATTCTTGTTGTGTGGATAGAATTGCTTGATTATGTTCTGGTTAGATTTCCCTTTTGTCTGAATGCTACTTGCTTTGTGCTTTGTGGGACTCTGAGT